TCTGTTCTTACTGTTGCTTCTTGGTATTGGTAGAGCGACTGGATGAGTTGAATTATATGTGCTGGAAAGCCCATCTAGCTCATAATCTTCCATAGGCGTTTATGTTGTACGCAGTCAAAAGCTTTGGAAAGATCAATAAAGCTAGGGAGAGAAGTTGTTGAAACGTGTCTCTAGTGTTGCTAACTTCACTATCTTTTCATGACAACAAACTACAATTGATCGACATCATAATTATATGCGCGAGTCGGCAGGATGATTGGGTGCTCAGAAATAGGGAAAAGCACAAGCAGGCCTTTACCGTCAAGATGAGGTTCTTGTTGAAGTGATTCCAGGCAGTGATGTCATGCCAAGGAAAGGTCTGTCCACAACATAGTTATGATGAAGCAGGAAACATCAAAGAACAGCAAGCGATTGGAATTGATGCTAATGAGAAGATGTATGTTAGGGTCCTAGTGGATGGCACAGACGTCTACGTACTACTTTTGCATCATTATCTACATGACGGACTTATAAAACGCCAATTACCATGGAGACGCCCCTTCACAAATCGAACTGTTATTGATGTTCCTGCCAATGTAGACAAGTTAGGAGATATCATTCCATCGATGTTGGCAGGACATGCGTTGACGGGATGCGACACTCTTGGGGCATACTTTGGCATTGGATAGGGTACAATGCTGAAAGTGATGAAGCAGAAGATTCGACTCCCTAAGGACTGAGTTGGCAATGTTGATGCAGCATGGTCATATGTCATCGCTTAACCTACTCAATGCTTTGCTTCATGTTATGGACAGTCAACAACCAACTGAATGTCAGAGGCTCGTATCGACGTGTGGCTATCAAGGGTCCCAAGACTAGGAGCTCCAAATACCCCCAAACCTTGCCTCACTACCTCAAACTATTGAAGCGTTTGTAGAAAATGTTAAGTGAACTCATTTGCAAACATGCGTGTGGAAGCACGCATTACAGTCACGACCTCACTTTGCAGAATTAAGTGTTAAATGACACCCTCTTCCGCATGGAATATTTTAGGGTTCCCAACACTTTAGAGGGCTTTTAAACAAATTTCAAGATTTTGAAGCAAACTTATAAACGGATATAGTCCTGTATCGTATTGGTAGTTCGTAATTTTTAGGTTAATTTAAAAGAATCTAGTACCTTAGAATACAAATCTAGTTTCTTAACGCTGTCACTGAAAATGGGCATTTATCACCATATGCCACCTCATACCTATGGGACAGAGAGCATAAAATTCAACCGTGTTATCTTCGAGTATCAAATTACAACAACAAAAAATGTGCAGCACAATTTTTACTCACTGTATCCAGTGCATCTGACTCATGACATATGATAATCTCATGTTAGAAATTGGTATTTGGCCATCATTTTGAACTAAGCAAGTTAATGTGTCTATAGAGGGCGCCATTCCGAATTATGCAAATTTGCATATCATTTGTGATCATACAGCATCGCAATTTTTATTTAGTGATGATTCTAGAAAAAATCAAGATATTTGACTGCCATTTAATGTAGTAAAATGCTGTTTAAACTTTTTATATCATTAATTTTGGTTAAAAGGGGGATTTTGGCGGCCATTTTGTATGACGTCACATATCTCAAATTGCTCAATGCTGACAGAGTGTCAGCAATCGAATTCTTCAAATTGATGGTCTAAGGAACTATAATCCGAAGAAAAAAAAACTATAGACCCTAAAACAAGGTATACCAAGATGACTGCCGGACTAAACTATTATCTTAGTTAGACCCCTTTTCTCTCTTCTAACTACACATCATCCTCATCTTGCTCCCTACTCCATTCATTCGTTCCTTCTCTCTCTTTTTCCTGTCACCCTTCTTTGTATATTTGCAAGTAAGTTATTTAAGGGGACCTTTAGTATCACAACCTTCGTTTCTCTGATGGGTCATCAGCTTGAAACAAACAATAATTTTTTTTTTTTTTTTTTTTTTTTATCTTTTATCATATTGTGTGATAGTTATTAAGATGTTATAATAAGTGACATCTTTACTTTTGTTTTCAATTGTATCATTTTTTTGCACATATTGTGATGCAATTGTTTGAGATATGTGGACATGAATAAATAGACTTGAACTTGAACTTGAGTTTAAGTGGCATATACTTGAATTCTTCATTCCATAATACATAATATGACAATAAACGATACATGGTAGAACCATGATAAAGCAATGGTACTGATGTTTTCATAGTTAAAGGTTTTGTTCAATACAACGGTTAAATGGTGACCATGGTGCATGTGTTCCTGTCCTGTTACCATGAGAAACACCACGTTTAATCATTTGCGGGTTTTTGTTTATTTGTTATTTTAATGAATTATACAGACGTATACACGTATTCATAAAGCAGTAATATTCGAAATCAATCGAAATTGAAAATTAGAATGCACTCCTAAAGTCTTCAGGAGTGTCTTTCATAATGTGGTACTATATTGTCGTCGCTATCCATAATTTACATAGTTACATATTTATATTTATATCAATTACATATAAACTGTTCATCATACTGTAAGTACTGTTCATTAACATATACTTCTTGTTTTTAACCGAAGAAGGAAGATGCCTTCCGAAAATATGTGTACTTGAAAAACTTGTATACTAAACAATTGGATAATGGTAGCAATATTTAAATTAATTTAAGATCAGTGATGTAACAAATATATAAATATATATATATATATATGCGTTAATATACACATCTGTTATCAATATAGCTAACAACCACATATCCAATGTACATCATTAAGGCAACACGTACTTGTAACGTGTTAATATTATACTTGTTTAGTACAGGCAGTAAGTTACACAAGTTATAGAAAGAAAATATCATGAATGACCCGAACTGTAATACATGACTAATGACCAAATAAAGGAAAAATATATCATTTTCGTCCGAAGGGTACTCTCATTAGAAGAGTCTCAACAAAATTAAACATAGCAACTGAAATTGTGCACTTATAGAACAATAAGTCTCTCTATGTAAATCAGACATTTATTACTACCTCTGCTAACCTTTTTTTCTTCTTTTTTTTCCTCTTTCTTCTTTTTCTTCTTTTTAACATTATCATTACAATAAGTTGTATTAATGTTCTTCATCTGCTTCTACTACTTTAACTCCTAAAATTGTTACTAATATTTACCAACGTTTCTGTGGTGGTACTATAATAATCATAATAAACGTAAATGCCATAAGTCTGGGTTTGAAAGTAAATTCCGCTTGAGTTCTACTCTCCTTTCGATGGACAAACTGTCAAGGTATCATACGTTTCATCGCTTTTACTATAGGAAGAAAAAGTAAATTGCTTTGCTTGGTATTCCTGTGGATCTCACGTCTCCTAACTTTGTAATTTTAGCAGTCTTATATTTTCAAATTAAATTTGTTGTTGAAAATTATGTGGTCAGTTCTAATTACATTGATTTAAAAAAATCTGCTTATTTTTACAAGCTTATTTATACAACCTCATTCTACCAAATGAACATTATTATAAATGTTAACTTTAGTTAAATGCTATTTTTTCTTCCTTTTTATATATTACTACACAGCCGGCGAAATGAGAGTTGTTCTCGAATATTCCCAATGTATGTATCACACATATTGATTACCTCAATAGACATTCCTTTAAAGGTTTCCTTAAAATGTAGTTTTCTTACAACAGCTCCGGTTCGCCTATATTATCAATGAATTATAAATCATAATGCGTTCTACAATCCTATCTTTGTGTTCAATACAAAATTGATTATCAGTTCACTTGATTTCACGAGAGCATTCATCAGATTTTACATTATTGTTTCCATAACTTTTCATGCAAGACGAGTTTTGAATTTGAAGGGAAGGAATTACAACAACAAAAACGCTCGTGAAATTATTGACCATTAGTTAATTCAGACTTTATAAAACAATGTCTTTAACCTGAATTTCTTGGATTGTTAGTCATGAGTTCACCCCTTTTAGTTACAGGGTGGAGTTAGCGTATATGATATACTGTTACGTTATTGAATTGAATTGAATTGAGTTGAATTTATTTATTCACTACCATTGAAACATTGAAACAAAAGATATATATATATATATATGTATATATAAATGTACAATGACAATTCCAATATAATACATGACATGCATTTTAAAAATACATGTTCTACAGCGATAAACATGTACATTATACAAATATTAAGACAGTTATAAGTAATTTTAGTGTCAAGAGTAAAACAATAAATGAATATTTACAATGGCTTTGTGCTCGATGGTAAAATAGAGTAAAAAATAGCACATGTGCTAGTCGAGTCTGACTCTCGTTATCTAAAACCTGAAATAGTTCATTGACAAATACACAATGTGTTTCCAAATCCTATAAATAACATTTGTGTATAATATTGCAATTTAAAAAACGAGACTGGTTGCTATATTCATCTACGATATATAATTACAAGGTTATAATTCGTGGTTTTCACCCAAGAGTATTTGTGTAAGTTTGTTACGAAAAGAGGCTCTTGATCTCTCAATTCTTAGAGCAGTAGGAAGCATATTCCAAAAATTACTTCCAACAAACGAAACAGAAAACTTTCCTTGGTCTGTTCTGAATAAAAACGTAGTTGTCGACCATTTAACATTTAACAATTTGAGGTCATGAAACAGTGCATTAGTATGAGAACGATGTGGCTTGAAAGTTATAGCACGTACAGCCATCTTTTGAGAGTAAAATATACAATTCAAGTGTGATTCAAGTGCCATATGTGGCTGTATCAGAGCTTTATACAACAGTATCAATATATGTTTAGGGACAAAGTGCCGTTATTTAAAGAGGATACCCGGCATTTATCTCATTCCGTATAAATTCTATGACAAGAAATCACAGGGGTAATCACAGGAGTAATCTAAATTTACACTAAAATGGCATAAGATATATACACAACAGAACTGTTTCATAGACTTAAATATTGACCGATGCATTTATGAAAACCTTTCTGATTCATTCATTACGTAATATACCAATGTTTTATCTTTAATTATGGTACTTTACATCATGAACCATAGTGAAACCAACGAAAACAGACAAATTAAGGCTTTTCGTCTTGGCCTCATCGGAGTAAATCGCATTAATTAATTTAAAAAAGCCGAAACTTGACAGCATAAGTGGAAGCTACAGGAAAAAGCGCGCGTTCGTTCTTGCGATTTATTCTGATGAGGGTGAGACGAAAACAAATGAGTGTGTCTGTTTTCGTTTCTATTTTTTCGATTTTGAAATAACGATCAACCCCTTAAATATAGTGACGTATATCCGCTTGATCGTAGTTATTAGTGTAACTTAGTCAATATAAGACATGATGTATGAGGTCCTTCAACGAGCATAGTGGAATTTGTCAGGTAGAAGGCAATGGTACAGGTCAGCTTGACCGGTAGTGTGTAGCCATCGCTGAAACTCAACGAGTGTGAGTAATGATATAAGATTTGTCATCCTGGAAATTACCATCCTGAGAAATAAGAAAAGTGATATCATAATAAGGACAACGTATACCATAATTACATAAGTTGTTTTGGAGAAAGAAATTAATGCTGACGGAAACAATTACATTAACAAATGAGCGAATTGATATTTTCAAATTCCTTATTCCATTAGGATAATTGGTAATTGATCTAGATTATATGACAGGCTTGCTTCATATAGAAACACAAGGTCTTTCTCCGGTAGCATTGCATGCGACTAGGCATTAATATTGGCATCATCGGGGGACTTACACCACTCATACGAGTACTTTTTTCACACTGGCAAAATTTTGCTTAACCCCGTACTATAGGTGGGGATTGGGGGGGGGGGGGGGTCTTAGCCCCACCTATAGTCCGGGGTTAAGCTCATTCCACTTTCTGTTCAGGCTCGTATTTACCAAATTGGGCTAGCCCCACCTACAGTACGGGGTTAGTTAGCCATGCAAAATAGCAGGGCTAACCCCGCAATTGTGTTGCTAACTCCGCAATTGCGGTGCCAAGAAAATGAAATAGAACAGAAACGAAAAATGGTCCGAAACTACGCAATGGAGCGTATGGCAGCTGGCCGGATGCGAAGTAAGGAGCCCACTGTCCAATCAGAGACGACGTATTCATGAATAAGGATTTTACCGTAAAGCACTACCGGTGCGAAAGGTCATGTGAAGCGCGCTTATTGTGCTTATTGTGCAATGTTATTAAAAGGCCCATGACATCGAAATACAAGTGTATTCATGTTGGTGTGCAGTCCTGCATACATCTCATATTTTGATATGTAAATTTTTGAATTTGTTTCATAGATTTTTAAATATTTTTGGATTTTTTCTTTTCTTTCAAACTTGCTAAGCTCCACCCCAAAAACCTCCAGATCTCATTCCCCTTGTGACATCATCTGTCAGTCATCAATGAGTCAACTTGAGAAAGTTGCATGTAACTTTGCCAAAGTTGACCACCTGTTACAATACCACAGACAATAGCAACATAATTTGTATAAGTTCCTATGTCGGACATGTCAGACTAAACTTATATTCTAGAATAGACAATGGTATGTAATTTCCCCCAGCTTAGCACACGTTCATAATATAATTGCATGCTTCGATACATTATTATGTACGATACATCATCATGTCTTTGTTTTCCTGGTGATGCTACAGCATGTATGACATAGCAACTTGTATGTTGCTATTGTATTACGTATTGTAACAGGTTGTCGACTTCGGCAAAGATACATACCACTTTCTCAAGTTAGCTCATTGATGACTGACAGATGATGTCACAAGGGGAATGAGATCTGGAGGTTTTGGGGTGGACCTTTAATAGCAAGTTTGAAGAAAAAAATATTAAAAAAAATATTTAAAAATCTATGAAACAAATTCAGAAGTGTACATATCAAAATATGAGATTTATGCAGGACTGCACACCAACAGGAATACGCTTGTATTTCGGTGTCATGGGCCCTTTAAGCGCAGCTGCAGAAAATGCCCTAATGAATATTCATGATATGGAGCTAATCCGGGGCAGTGAGAACAGCGAGAATTTTCTTATTCCGGAATAGGCGCTACTACGGGACTAAAACAGCGTGTGTGAAAAGCCAAACAAAGTTAGTCCGGGGTTAATGATATAGTACGGGGCTATAAAGCAAAGTACAGGGTTAAGCAAAACCAGCGTGAAGGTAGTGTTTGTGGATGAAACGCAAGTTAAAAGGGAAGTCCACCCTGATATTGAGTTGTTTTTAATATAAGCAGAAACATTGAGAGAAATAAATTAGTGAAAGTTTGAAAAATAGGAGAGTTATGAATTTGTTAAGTTGCCATTAGTGAAACACAAATTTGCAACACCGTGACGTATCATGCAAGCTCCTTTCTAAGTTTCTCTCTTTAGAAAATGTTATAAACTTTTATTTTCTTAGTTATATATGACGGAATAGATATGTTTCATACAGGGTTGTATATAAACTTAATTGCATTATTTATATTTAACTACATTTTCTTGTAGAAAACATAGATTTGTTCCATGAAAATGGCCTCTCTAACATGTGCTCTTAATTTAAAATGACTGAGAGCAATTCTGAAGCTGTCCATATGTGTTGGAAAAGGGGCACCTACAAAGATTTACATTAAAGCGGAAACAATACAATTTTTGTGAAAAGGCATTGTTATATATCCCGGGCTACTTTGTAATTATTGATTTTTGTTTCTCTATGTTGTCCAAGATACTACCCCATACTTTGCAGTTGCATTTTTGGAGGTCTGAACATTACTTTGAGAGAGATCGAAGCGATTTCAAGAGTAGTGAATAATAATAATAATATTCGGTTCTTGTACTTATAGCGCATATCACATTACATATTCCTTTTAAAGCGTTTCCAAACAGCTTTAGGAATTATCATTCTAGCTTTAGTTCCGGCAGCTGTTATAAGCGCACAGTGCGTTTTAAGTTCAAATCATAACAGGTACTTATTTAGGTCATCTGGGTCGATTGCGGCAAATGTAGATTAATGTCTTGCCAAAGGACATTTGTGCCGCGGCTTGACTCGAACCTCAGACCTTGTGATCCACAGTCCGGTGACATATCCACTCGACCACGACAATCTCCACAGGAAGTCGTATTTCGACTGATTAGATCAAATAATTAGATGAAATAACCAATCCTGGTAGAGTTTTAAGCACGAGCTTATGGTAAACTAGATGGAACTTCGACATACATGTCTTGAGTTTGATGGTAATCCGTCCGTCGGTTCTAATAATAATGCGATTACAAGCTATTTTGCATATATAATGAGCCAAATGACCGTTGACCTTTGACCTCATGACCCCAACATCTAATCAGTTCATTGGCTAAGCATGATACAAATGTCCATCGGTTCTAATGATGTGATCATAAGCTATTTATGCATACATAATGAAACCTGTGACATTTTACCTCGTGACCCCCAAATCTAATCAATTCATTGGCTCTGCAAGATACATCCATGACTTAGGTTTGACAGGAATCCATCAATTGTTTCTTGAGATAACGCGATCACAAGCTATTTGTGCATACATAATGAGCACTGTGACCTTTGGCCTTTGACCTCGTAACCCCAAAATCTGTTCAATTCATTGTCTCTACAAGATACATCCATGACTTAGGTTTGGCAGGAATACATCAATCGGTTCTTGAGATAACGCGATCACGAGAACGGGACGTACGGACGGACGGACAACCCGAAAACATAATGCCTCCGGCTACTTCGTAACGGAGGCATAATAAAAGAATTGATGAGACATTTAATATATAATATTACATGTTCGTGATAAGATAAAAAGCATAAAATGTTGGATAAAATTCTAGATCAAAGAAATGCTCTCAGTTGTTTTAAAAAGGGGGTACATAGGAAGTCTAGGTTTCGGGTAAACAAGGAGTGATAAAAAGAGTTTTGAAAACCTCTTCATTATCTAAAATGTAATATTCGTGAACATATGGCAATGTATTGCTTTAATAGTCTACGGAGTTCCAAAGGGCGTGATTTAGAAACGAGGATATGTTCGAAGACGCCTTGATAGCAGTTAAGTAGAATATGTCATGGTACCTTTTAGGGACAAAACAAAAGTGTAGAAAGGGCACACTATAAAAACAGCGAGCTGGAGAAGGGACATTTGGTGGCGTTAAAATGAGAGCGTGGGAATCCAGGGCATTGCCTGGGATTCACTGCCTTTCACTGTGCAAACTATGCAAACTATGCAAACTATACCATAGCACTATACCATGGATGACGTCATATATATGCGATCGATCAAGATCAATGTGCTGTCGGTCGTGGTCGCGGTACTGTCGTCTGCGCTGCTCTCACTGCACTCTACACTTCTTCAGTGACAGTTAACATAACTATTATTATTATGAAGGTTGGTTTGAAAAATATAAAACAAATATATCATGCACTATTTCAATCCACTAGTTAAAATGATGGTTTCCTCGGCGACAGTGCTATTCCTGCCACCTCGATCCATAATTTTAACTAGAGCCTCTCAGTGCATGGTATATTTGTTTATTATACATACGAAATTAAGAAATAGTGAAAGTGTACAATGGACACAACGTGGATCAATACTTACATGATAAACATGCACATTGAGGTCGCCGCGTGGAGATGTGTGAAGACCTTTAAGATGAGATTCTAGTTTGCCGCCCTTTTTAGTACCACACAAGTAGAACCTTTGTCCAGAAAACAGAGTGATGGCGGGAAGGTGTGTTGGGTGTTAGAGTAAAAAAGAAAGAAGCCGAGAGAGATAAAGACAGGGGGAATATATAGAGAAAGAGACAGGAATATATATATTCAATTTCAATTCAATTTCAATTTATTTATGTTTACAACAAAACAATACAAATCAATTATAAACATTTACAACAAATGTAGAAACACATATTGGAAACAGAGGAGTCCACTAAAAAACAATGCTTGTACAAGTGTTAAAACCTCAAATGATACTTAGGAATAATGAGTAATTAAATTAACTACCAAAGGAACTACAAAAGGAACTACAAAATAGGGGGAAAAGAGAATGCCAGCAGAGACGAGGAGGTCCTAGTTCAAACTTGTATTTACTACTGGTTTGCATCTGGTATTACAGCTGAGACCAGTAATCTACTAGTCCTAGTAACAAGTGGTATTCTATTTTTTCGACTTCAAACTGGTATTTATACTGGTTTACAAATTGTATCAAATATGGTCTCAACTGGTACCAGTTGAGACCTGTTCAAACCAGAATATACCAGTTGGAAATCCTTACTGGTTTCAACTGGTATCAACTGGAATTTCGACCTGGGAATGATAGAAGAACACGGTTAAAATACAAAGAGTAGACGATGCTAAAAAGGAAGTGAGAGATCGTGGGTACAAAAAATAATACAAAATGATGAGCTGCATGTGGGGTTGAGAAGAAGATGAGGAAAGAGAAATGCGCATTAGAAAGGAGTTAAGCATGAGAAGGCACAATATAATATATCAAATTACATTTTGAGTAAACGAGTAAAGAATGATCTTTTATTCAACAACAAATAAAGAGATAGACAAAGAACAGAAAAAATAAGAAAGAGAAACATACAGAGAATTCGTAAGATACTCTTAACTGTTTTTCATGTCGGGATTTGTATATGAGATGTTGTTTTCGTTTCCATTAACGATTCGACGTTGTAAGCTTCAATTAATAAAGCTACAAACTCCGGGAGAGGGAGGGGAGGGGAAGGGAGGGGAGGGGGAGGAAGAATGATCAAGGTGGGGGGGGGGGGGGTACCAAGCCTTAACAATGATATTGAAATTCACTGATCAGATAATAGGGACTTTTAGATTTGCCCGTCGATAGCTTTGACTGCAACGTGTGACGTCATTTTAAGGCACTGCGCATGCGTCATGTCGTCTCAGTCGGCAAAAGAGAATGCGTCAACCTTGATTTTCCTAAATCTAGTCCGGTACTAGTATATGCCGCGTGCGCATAAAATATACAGTTCCTCAGGTAGACAAAGGAACATCCTTTCCCTGCTATTGTGTTAAAATGTGAAGAACAGGTGTCACATGCATATTCACCTGTTCTACAATTTTTACATAATGGCAGTGAAGGGATGTTCTACCACAGCAATAGGCCAGTTTCGTAATGTAACCAAATTTAATGCATACGTCTTTGTTAAGTGCCCTAATACAAATTATTTCATTCACCTGATAAGAATAATAGTATTTCAATAGTCAGAATGCAACTGCATATATTAAGTGTTGCTAGGTAGGTCAAGCCATAATGTTTGTCCAACCAGGGAGGTGAAAGAAAAGGAGGTGAAACTCTTGTAATTTATTCAAACGCATTCTTGAGTTCTAAAGCGTAACAATGGGACGTGTAACATTCCACTTGGCTTTGAAGTTCCATGCTCCGAACCGCGCTTCCACTACGGGGACTTTCGGAAGCCAGGCACCAGGTTTACATTTATTACAAAATATTAAATTACCGGCAAAATTTCAGTGTAAATCAAAAAATTTATACGGGGATTTTATTGGGAATAGTGCATCAAACAAATTTTCAAATTTAGAACTCCGTCCTTCCTTTAATTTGTGTGCCAGAGTTGGTAAAAGAAAAACTACATCCTGTCAAAAACTCAATATTTTAGGATGATGCGCTAATTTGTGCATGCTTTAATGTCCCGTTATTTGATCCATGATTTACAATCTTCAATAACATTAAGTTTGCTAATGCGTGTTTTCGCGTGTTTTTTGTATTTTTCAAGTTTAAAAAAGGATGAAAGTACACAAGTTTGTGTTCGCTTGTTCTACTCTTTACACATTCAACAATGGATGAGAAATCATTGGAAGGGACAGCGAACAGTTGCAGTGATACCATTTTCTGATGTAGGAATTCTAACTCCTGAAATTTCATGCGCTCTTTTATCTCACCACCTGGTCAACAGTTGCAGATTAGCGCATAACTTTTCGGCGGCTTGGAGCATGGGGTCAAAGGAGAGCGGCTTGATTCCAGTCCTTCTCTATCACGTCCCTGGTCCAACCTGGCAACAACTGATGTATGCAGTTCGGATTCTGACTACTGAAATACTATCATGCATACTAGTATGCATTGAATTTGGTTACAAATACGAATTAAAATGGCCTATTGTTGAGGGTAGAATGAGGAACTGTATATTTTGTCCTCTTTCTTTGTTCGTCATGTTCATAGTGTTACTTCCTGCATGCATGTTTATCGTCAGTGCAATCTAAAAGATTTCTGATTGTAGTCAACATGGGCAGTTGAGTACGTTGACACGCATGATCAGTCGGCGTTCGTCATGTTCTCGTCCACTCAATCTAAAAGTCCCTATTATGAAGATGCGGACTAGTTAGAATGGTTTGGACGTATTGGGAACGAGGTAGAACTAGTTAAGAACCGTTTTAAACTGAGTACGGACGGGCTTGGACTGCCTGGAACAAATAAACCCGATCTAAACTTGATATGAACTGACTGTTGACGAGGTACAGACAAAATGGACGTATTGGAGACTGTTTATGAACGATCTAGGATCGTATTATATACATTTTTTGTTTTACACATTCTACCCCGACCATGACCCGTTTTAACGATTTTCTAGGACGGTTTCAGAACAAGTGAGAACTAGTATAGTATGATCGGGGCGCATACTGCTGATAATAACTCGACCACAGCACGTTGTAACACGTTCCTAGTAGGATCGAAGTAAGGCAATTCCGTTCATAGTATGGCAATCAGTCTGTTTGTAGTACAACCTCCTCGTTTTAGGTACGTTGTCACTCCGTCTAAATGGAGGACGGGGAATACGTTGAACAGGCTCAAAGTTCTAAAGCACTCTCCCGTACTCGCCAGTCAGAGCCCGTCCATGAAGTTATTAAACAGATAGTGAACAGTTGCTACTACGTTCAACTCCGTTCGCACACAGTTTGAGCCCGTTTAGCAATATTTTCAAGAACGTAGTGAGAACTAGTTCCGTGTGATGGGGGGCTTAAGATTTAAAAAAAATACCGATTACCGCCCCGCACTACGTTTTAATTCCGCAAACGAGGTGCGTATAATTTGGAATTAATGTCTATAATACGACCCTCGTTCGTTCATACACAGTCCTCAATACGTCCTTCTCGTCTGTACCCCGTCTACAGTCAGTTCATTTCAAGTTTAGATTGGCCAAATTTGCCATTTCCAGGCAGTTCCAGCCAGTCCGTAGTCCGTGTATACCCGTTATTAACTAGTTCTACCTCGTTCTCACTACGACAGCTCGTCCCCAACTCGTTCTAATTGCGTTCGAACGCGCTGCAACAGCGTGTGGAATCACGTCCTGGCTCAAGGGTGTTAAAACCCCAGTGCGTTCTTGCTATTTCTTATTCCCGTTCAACTTCAAAGATTCCAGCTGTGCAAATCAAGACATTCTAGTGAAGCCCCCATCACACCAAACTAGTTCTCAATACGTTCTGTAAATGTTTTCCAAACGTGCTCAAACTGTGTGCGACCGAAGTGAACGTAGAAGTAACTGTTTTTCAAAGTATGAAGGGGGAGGGGGGGGGGGGGCTAAAGTATAAATGATCACGTAGAGCGTAGCGAGCGATGCGAGTGGGGGTAAATGTGCGTAGGGTCCAGGAGCAAAGCACCCCGGAAGCTCAGTGGTTTCATGCATTTAAATACGGTCAGATTAGCATATTTTGAGACCTTATTTGTGACACTGGCAGGCAAGTAATTGGCTTTGAGTCCGGGGGCGGAGCCTCTTGAAGCTCAGGGGTATAAGGCATTAATAACGGTCAGATAAGCATCCGGGGGACAGCTTAAGGGCCCCGGTGGGTCCTGGGGGCAGAGTTCCCGGAAGCTCGGGGTTAAGGTATTCAACAACGGTCAGATGAGCATATTTTAATTCCTTATTTGTGACACTGGCAGGTCACTAATTGACATTGGGTACAGGGGTGGAGCCCTCTCGACTAAGGGGTTCTAGTCATTTAATTACGGTCAGATGAGCATCCTGGGCCAAGCGTTAGGATACTTGATTGGGCCAAGGGGGAAGCCCATGGGGTTTAGGCATTCAATTACGGTCAGATGAGCATCCAAGGGGACAGAGCCCCCGGAACTTCAGGGGTTTTAGGCATTTCATTACAGTTAGATGTGTATCGAAAAGGGCGGAGCCCCCGGAAGCTCAGGGTTTTTAAGCCTTTCAATTACGGTCAGATAAGAATATTTTGATACCTTATTTGTGACACTGGCAGGTCACTAGTTGGCGTTGGGTCCTTGACTAAGGGGTTTCAGGCATTACATTAAGGTCAGGTGAGCACAAGGGGCCCGCTTTAGGGTCCTTTGTAGGGTTCCGGGGGCAGAGCCCCCGGAAGCCCAGGGGTTTCATGCATTTAATTATGGTCAGATGAGCATCCAAGGGGACGGAGCCCCCGAAACTTCAGGGGTCCTGCAAGTTCAGGCGTTTTGAGCATTTGTTTACCGTCAGATGAGTACCCAGGGGTCCGCCTTAGCTTAAAGATTTTAGGTTTTTGATAACGGTCAGGTGAGCATATTTTGATACCTCATTCGTGACACTTGCAGGTCACTATTTTCTTTTTCTTTCTTTCTTTCTTTCTATTTCTCTTCAACATACTTTAAGTAAGGAGGCCAAAGGGGCGGGGTCGAGCCCAGGGGCGTCGCTAGAGATGGCTGTGGGGGTGTGACGCCCCCTCTCAACTATCAGGAAATTGTTGGTAAAATTGCGCTGTCGTCTGCAAAAATGAGAAAAGGGGGAGGGAAAATAGAAAGGGAAGGATGAAAAAGAAAGAAAAGAAAGGAAGGAGAAGGAAAGAAAGAAAGATTTTTTTAAAAAGACAGAAAAGAAAGATAAGAAAGAAAAGAAAGAAAAAGAAGGAAAAGGAGAAAAGGGAAAAAAGGAAGAACAAATAAGAGTAAATGAAACAAATAATGAAAGAAAGGTGAGAGAGGGGGTTAAGAGCATGACAAAGGAGGTGTGTGAGTTAGAGAGAGAGAGAGATAGAGAGAAAGGGGAGGGATGGGGTTGTTGGGTGGAGTAAACTCGTCGAGGATACAATAAAGATCCGCATAGATAATTATGTTGCTGTGTCGGCTCAGCTGTGTCGGTATTTTCGCTCTATCCATGTGTACTATATCAATACAAAAAGTTTGAACATGGTGAGATGTATAATGTCGGTCGGCCGGCGAAAGGAAAAGAAAAGAAAGGAACGGAGAAAATGAAGGAAAAAAAAGAAGAAAAACAAGAGAAATAAAACAAAAGAAACAAGGGAGGGGGGGGGGGGGAAAGAAAGGAATGAGAGAGGATGTGTGGGAGTAAGAGGGAAAGAGAGGGGTGGGTTGTTGGTTGGAGTCAGCTGTGTCGGTAGTTTGAATTTGGGAGATGTATAATGTCGGTCAGCCGGCGAGTTATTTTCTTCATACGAACTGTGACTTTGTATCCGCTATGACGACTTCGAGAGAGACTACAACTATAAAACTTGTATGTTCTCGAGGTTTTACCAGCAATCATTAAAAATAATTGTCAATTGTCATTGTCAACTTTAGTAATACTATAACATAGGATTTCCCGGCCAAATTCGCGTGTTTGTCATTCGAATTCATTTAGTTTGCATTTAAAGTTGCACAGATCGGCTTTACCATGCCAATTGTCATTCAATTTTCCAGTTTTTGTATTTAATTTAGGATTTTGGTCGAAGGGTTTCATAGATCTGTCATTCAATTTAGAAACTGCTCAACTAGCATTCAAATTAATATTCACTTGGCGAAGCGTAAGTTGTATAATTCAAATTAACACCTGTCATTCGTATTCGTAAGATTTTTATTCAAGTTAGGAATGTAAAGGGAAGAATTGCAACAAACTTTTACAGTTTTTAAATAATGCAGTTAAAATGCATGATTTGCCATTGGGGTCTAAGCTGTTATTCCAGTTATTCATTTTCAGGACAATGCAGATGGGTGTAGTCAGACATAAAGTAAAGAAGGGGCGAAATCAAGGGATATGGCATTTCTGCACGGACATGTTCATATACCCGGGAAAGGTGGGGGTACCCTCAATCGCCCCTTTTTACTACAGACTCGGAATTTTACAAAAAGTAATTCACATCGTCTCTTATACCCAGCACACCCCTCTGTTTTTCTTAAAGAGTTTCATAGTTTACTTGCCCGCCAGCAGATCGATGGCTAAAGACTTGGCTAAATAATGAATCATGTTCAAATTGTTGACTCTAGTCCCTACTCCAGTCACAGTATTGTACCCTTCTTCCATAATGAAATTATGATGAAATAATGATAAATTTATGATGAAACATAAGACAAACAACTTCCCTACATGAACATTTACAATATACATTTACATGAACAATACATGAACAATATATATTTATATGAACAATATATATTTATATTGAGACCATCAGGTCCGTAGATGCAAGTCGTTTTTTTCTTCTTAACAATCAAACTTGAATGCTGATGAATATCAGATAAATTTAATAAGTATAAGTGTATAAATGCAATAAAATGAAATATGATGAAATACACATAAAAAAACAATCTTGAAAGAAAAAGAATGAGCTATAAAAAGTGTGTAATAAACGAGAAATGTATATCGACCATCAATTTAAGTGCACAAAGTGCTAATTTGAATGCTACAAATAAATTAGAATGCTAGAAGTACACCGTCGCGTTGTCAGAAAATCGTGTTGCGCCAAATCGAATGACCTAATAGCGAAGAAGCACAGTATTCATTGAATGAAACATACGTAGATTCTAACGAAAATTCCATAGATTTGAAAACTAGAAAAAGGAATATAAACCCGAGATATACCTGACTGCACTAAAACCGTCGAATTTGAACGCAAGACAAATTAATTTAAATGATAAACCCGCGAATTTGGCCGGGAAATCCTATATCATCAAAAGAAAGAAAAGGTTGGCAGCTGTGAGCTTTGAAACGCTCTTGCCGATCATTCCACACTGGATAGTTATAGAAGCGAAAACAAATTTGTTTTACATAGCTACGATGCTGACTATAGTCTTGATGAAATTAGCCGTATAGTTATGAGGTCAAGGAAAATGACATTGTGCGCATGCGCAGGTATAGACAGTACTTAGAAAAAATAGCCCTTCCCCCCTCCCCTGGCCCCGAGTTTATGGGGTTAAATTTGTAGACATTGGCACATTGGTATTAATGTAGTTGTAGTTAATTGGGGGCTAGTTTTGTCGGTAATCGGTGGCCTCTAAAAAATGCCAACAAAATGAACAGTTTGACTTTCCTATATATATATACATATATATATATATATATATATATATATATATATAATTAGCTGAAATGACCTAATATGCATATTTGATGAATATTCATGATTTTTTTAAAATTTGAAATAAAATATATTTCCATACCTGTCTGATATACATAGGTTTCACTGATGTATCATGTTCGGTTTTGATTTGATTACATATGCGCGTATTATTTAGGCGGACTTGGTTATTTTCACAACTTTCTCATATCTGCAGATTCGCAAAAATGGCAAAAATTTCTTATATATCTATTACCGTTTTGAAAACAGAAGCCAACAAAATGAGTCAATTTTTCCATTTTTGCGAATCTGCAGATATGAAACTACATAGAATTGTAATTAAAGAGAAGGTTAAGTTCTGGGAAGAGGTGAAAAATAATTTGTGAGCGTTATCATTCTTATTATGCAAGTGTGGAAGAACATCAGATAAGACATGTTCCCTGAAAAGCATGGCTCTTCAAATGCCTTCATATTCTAAATATGTCATGTAACATCGTAAAACTCGGGGGTAGGATTTTTACGCCACGTGTTCGTGTAGTCCCATATACATCTTTCTGTGTACAGTGTTTGTAACTTTACCAAGACTTGGCCAAATTTCTTATCATTTTGATGATTCCAGAACCTTGCAATACACACAAATACTTATATGCTAGATGATAAACCCTTTCTGGTCGATTCCACACCGTTTCTTTCACAATGCAATGGCATGACCAGAACTCAACTTCATCTTTAAAGGTATGCTTAAAACATGTGTGAAATAACATTATTATTATTTTTTTTTTATAATAAATTTACCAAAATTGCTATTTCTACCAACTGACTGGTGTTGTGTGTGTGTGGGTGTGTGTGTGTGTGTTCGAGGGGCAGACTGTGTGCAAAGTATGATCACCCTATTATTAGTCTAAACGCTGCATCCTTTGGCCTTCCAAAGCCCTAAAGTGTGCTGCAATCTTTAGTCAGTATTTGCTATAAATTGGTTTGTGAGCACTTTTTCGAATTTCCGGGGGGGGGGGGGGAAGGTCCCCCTATAAGAAGTGATGTGTGGGTACGTGTCAGCCCCCCTTGATAACAGAGCACCTTTTACATTAAAGCCTAAATAATCGAAATCAATTTGATTTGATTAGACAGCTCACGAGCATAAGTTTAAAGCTAAAACTAATTCCTCCTTAAAAATTATTTTAAAAATCCAAATAAATTTTAGTTGCTGAAACAGCCCCAAGGGGAATACCCCTGACAAAATAAGTAATTGTTTAAGCTTCGAAAATGCACGAATTCCAAATTAAAAGAGGTAAAGCTGACAGGTAGACATACATGTACCTGTCACCGCATATAGAACATGATGTTTTTTTGATAGACGATGCACGCGTAAAATGATGCGCGCAGTCAAAAGTGATGCCTCCGCGAAGTCATAGAGCGGTTTTACAAACCATAACATAAGGAATTTGTAAAAACTGATTCAAGTGTGATTGTAATCCATTAACAGGTTTTCATAATATCATGATTGAAAGCTTCATTTCATATACATGTATGATCTTTTGATCTATGACCTCATGACCCTAAAATATTATGGGTTCGTTGGCTCTGCAGGATACAAACGTGTCCTGAGTCTGATAGAAATCCATCCGTCGGTTCTAATGATAATGCGATCACAAGCTGTTTTTGCATACATGAAGAGCCTATTGAGTCAGTCTTCCGTGGTAAAACATTAGGGTACGAATGCATGAAAGGAGGAAACGGTTTAGACGTGGGTACAGCCTCCTATTTTTCAAAATTAATACTGTAATTATGGATCAGATTTGTATGTATATCTCTCCTGATAAGTTATTTTAGAATCGTCTAGTATGATTGTAACCTATTTTAAACACGGTTCTAACAAGAACCTACCACACATCTGACACCGTCTTCACGCGTCTGCAACACTCGATGAGGTCAACCAGGCTTTCTTCATCCAAGGACTCCACCCCAGCCAGATGTAGACGCTGCAGGTTCTTGGTTTGTTCTTCGATCAGAAGACCCAATCCTCTCATCGTCTCTCTCGAAGCACTCTTCTTCTCTGATGGGAGTGATGACAGTGCTTTAAGCCTGATGTGTTTGAGGTGCTGTCCTCTGGTCCGACGAAGACCAGCATTGATCTGAGGTATGTCTCTCTCCGCATCATCGATAGTGATATCGATCGCTCTCAAGCGAGGTAGCGATGAGAGCAGACCTGTGTAGCTTTGTGACGTCAATCTCTCAGCCGATAACTTTGTAACGGATGGAAGCTCAGAAGGAGATGAAGGGAAACTGAAAGAGGAGTCTGAGATGCTGAGATGTTTCAGTGAGGTGAAGGATCTGAGACAGGACCACAATTTGACGGTCATTTCGGTAGATAGCTGACAGTCCTTGATTGTCCATATTTTAATCTATGATGACATACAGAAAGAATAAGTCGCCATTGTTACACAACATAACAAATACAAATTGTATAAAAGGGAGGAGAGTACGAATACATTTCTTAAAAAAAAGGTATCGATCGTTTGGAGAGGAAAGGAAAATATAAAAACATCATCAATACAAATCCTCGAATTATTTGAACTCAACCTGATATATTGATCGACACGCGTTTATGACTATATCTTAATTAATTTCCTAGCTACAATTTCCTATCAAAATCGTTATACCGATATAATTTATTTGTAATTAAAGATAGGCAAAATGTACATTATAAAAAGAAAATTATAATTTTGAATGCGTTTTTAACCGTTCTTTGTTCGTCCCCACAACTTTTACTCGCCGTACGGGCCCCGGAGTGTATATGTTATGCCTGGATTACATTTCGCCGGCGATTAGTCTACGGAGCCCGTATCCTGCCCGTATCCCCTTTTCCGTGCGGTCTCTATGCGGAGGCAGGAGGCGGTCGTGAGATTTTCGTACGGATTCACGGGCTCCGCAGCCTTTACGATTTTGTTTCGCGAGAAGTTAAACAAATTTGAAAAAAATCGTAAGCCCGTAGCCCGTATACATGTCGTAGGTGGCACTGCACAATCCCCGCACGGGCATCGATGCTCGTAGATAATGTAAACACAAACATCGTAGCCCGTAGCCTCCTACGATGTCTACGAAAAATCGTAAACTAATTTATCGTACGGCGCCCGGGACAAATGTAATCCAGGCCTTAAAGTCCCATTAGGACTAGAATGATTTTCCCATATTATTATTAAGTTATTATAATAATAAATAATAATAACAATTTACTTATAAAGCGCTATTTCCTTTCATTAAACCATTATCATGTATTTGTAATAGAAGATAGGCTGTACATTATACAAAGAAAATGATCCTTTTGAATGCATTTTTTTTAACCTTTCTTTGTTCGTTCCAACAACTGTGTTTTAGACTTGTGATTATGTAATGCTGCGGGGCGTACAGCAAACGAGGTATGTTTTTACCTTAGGTCCTGTAGAAATCCCCATGTCCAATTTTCAATTTGATTCTGAATTCACAATAACTACCAGCAGACCAAAGTCATTTAATACATTGTATATGCTAATGTTCGTTGCAAATACATGTAAACTACTAGTATATTTATATGTCTGGCATGAACGAAAATATATATGTGTTACGTAAAATATGTTTTATAAACATAGACCGAACTGAACTGAAGTCATTGCATTTTTTTCAAAGAAGTGTTATTTCTGATAATTTAATTACCCATTCGGTAGGAAGTGCGATTTTTTTAAATTTTTAATATTACGATACAAATAAGGTGTACGGGCATTAACAATTAGAGCATACTTACATTTTTATCGGAGTCTAGATACATAGGAATCCTACATTATTTCAAAAAGAGATGACAAAATAAGGATAACATGTTACCACTTTAATCGTTTGTGAAAAACAAATTACGACTTACATGTTAAAAGTTGAGGACAAATCTAGACTTATTCAACATATTAATATGGCTCATTGTACGTGTGACCTAAAATATTCTTAAAGCGAATATTTGTTGATACCAATATTATTAGTAACATTTTTGAAATATTTTGATCTGCCAAAAATAATGTGAAACCCGCTTTTTTCTTTGAAATTATATCAATTCACTGAAAGACTTCTATTTTTGTCAAGATTCAATCAATTTTTCTCTTAGGCTAAATCTATGAATGATCAAATCGATATCATTTTGTAAAGAGCATTTTTATATTTCCTGTTTAGATAACGTCAAGAGGATATATATGTATATATACACTGTTAGTCATACAAGTGGATTTTTTTTTAATGGCATTATTTTTACAATCATTTATTCCTAATAGATCTAGATAATAGTATACAGTCTCATATTTTATTGAATAATAATTGGCGAGTGTTTGTTTTGCGTGACTCCTACAGTTAGTGTTAGCTACTATGCGTATCAACTAGGGGGCCTGCGTCATCAAGTCATAACTGACAGTAATGAAAATTAATGCCTCACAAAATGGCAGTAATATAGCACATCGACATGGTTTTGATCCTGGGGCCTCACAGTTACAAGGCCATTGCTTTGCCACTGAATCATGACTGTATGCAGCGGGGGCTAGGGTATGGGGCAGCCCCCACAAATAAAGAAGAACAAAAGAAAATACAATAAATTATCAATAAATCATTGCATTTCACCCCCGGTCCCCAACAGGAAATATTCATACATTATGGTTCAAGGCATGGCCACACAGAGGAATTTGTCCTGTTGGGGACTGGGGGAAAATGCAAGGAATTATTGATAATTTATTGCATTTTATTTTCTTATTTTAATATTTGTGGGGGCTGCCCCCTACCCCACGCCCCGCTGCGTACAGTCATGATTCAGTGGCAAAGCATTGGCCTTGTATCTGTAAGGCCCCAGGATTAAAACAGTGTCTATCATCTATATTAGTGCCCTTTTGTGAGGCATTAATCCTCATTACCGTCAGTTATGATTTAAGGACATAGGTCCCCTATAGTTGATAAACAGAGTAGCATACACGTGCTTCATCAGTCACGCAACACAAACACTCGCAAGTTATTATTCATTAACATTTCAGAATGTTTACTATTATTTAGATCTATTAGGATTAAATCATTGTCAAAATCATTCCATTCAGGTTGATATTTTGGTAATTAACATAAATATTTGAGGACTGGTTTAACGCATCACCCTAGCGAATGGAATAAAATGCACGGTGATGCCCATATCAATAACAATTAAAGAGAAAACGGGAGGGAATAGAAAACTTTAATCAATAAACTTAGCTTAAAGGCACTATGTCCCTTTTGCAGCCAACCTCAAATTATGTAGAACTTTGCAGGAATTATGAATATGTCATGTATGTCCTATCTGTGAAATGTAAACGTTAGCAGTGTCCTAATATTCAAATTACGCAAGGAAACCCGTTTACTTGCTAGACTTCACTGTCAGACACTTTTGAGTGACTGACTGGCTTTTTTTTTCTTCTTTGGTAATAACATACATAAAATGAGCTGTAAAGGGTACATAAGCATTTGTCTACATCAATAACCCACTTCTTGTGATGGCCAAAATTAAACTGCTTGAATCTTTGCGCAGCATAAAACGTATGACCATTCGGTACAATGGTCTGGAAATCAAGACTATTACTTATTGGCTTTATAGCTCCTAAGTCGATTTGACAACTAATAGTCGTTATTTTTCCACTTGAAGATATTTTCAAGCACCACTTTTTTTAGGGAAGTTCTAAATTAGTATTATCTTTCAAATGCCGTTGGAATTTAACCTTTTCAATTGTTTGGCCTGCAAATGGGACATAGTACCTTTAACAGTTACTCACTGTTCTACATACAGGCTAGCTGACATTAAACGTGTTAAAGACTGGACAAGATTGATCACTGTTTCCTTGGGTCCGAAAACTACTCCGGATAATATCGCCTGACATTCTGTGATGACAACACCCAGTCCTCTCATCCTCTTTATCGACTTGCTTGATACATTCCCCTCTGAAGTAATGGATTGGGGGTCGATGCGCGTGAGGTCCTGTCCCGTCAGATGTCGACGTAGACTAGTCTCGATCTGAGATATGTCTTCTGTATTTGCATATCCGATAGTGAAATCGACCTCTTTCAAGCAAGGTAGCGATGAGAGCAGACCTGTGTAGTTTTGTGACGTCAATCTCTCAGCCGATAACTTTGTAACGGATGGAAGCTCAGAAGGAGATGCAGGGAAACTGAAAGAGGAGTCTGAGATGCTGAGATGTTTCAGTGAGGTGAAGGATCTGAGACAGGACCACAATTTGACGGTCATTTCGGTAGATAGCTGACAGTCCTTGATTGTCCATATTTTAATCTATGATGACATACAGAAAGAATAAGTCGCCATTGTTACACAACATAACAAATACAAATTGTATAAAAGGGAGGAGAGTACGAATACATTTCTTACTGAAAAGAAAGGTATCGATCGTTTGGAGAGGAAAGGAAAAGTTAAAAACATCATCAATACAAATCCTCGAATTATTTGAACTCAACCTGATATATCGATCGACACGCGTTTATGACTATATCTTAATTAATTTCCTAGCTACAATTTCCTATCAAAATCGTTATACCGATATAATTTATTTGTAATTAAAGATAGGCAAAATGTACATTATAAAAAGAAAATTATCATTTTGAATGCGTTTTTAACCGTTCTTTGTTCGTCCCCACAACTGTGTTTAGACTTATGATTGTGTTATGCTACGGGGCAAAGGTTTCTTACCTTAGGCCCTGTAATATCCTAATTTTTTTTTTTTTAAATTTAGTTCTCTACTAACAATAACTATAAGCAGACCAACTCGGAAGTCATGTTCATTGCAAATACCCGTGTACTGCTAGTATAATTATATTACTGGCATGCACGAAATTATATAATGTGTGACGTGAAATATGATTAATGAATAAAGACCGAACTAAACTAAAAATTCCCTTTTTTTCTTCAGAGAAATGCTATTTGTGATACTTTAATCACCTTTTCGTAAGGAATTGCTTTCTTAAATATTACGAAACAAATGAGGCGTACCTAACAGGTATGAACAATAAAGTATACTTACAGGCAATGCATCTTGATCGGAGTTCAGTGACTTAGAAAACCTACATTAAATTCAAAGAGAGATGTAGAAGTAAGGATAACATGCAACCACTTTAAACGTTTGTGAATAACAAATTACGACTAACATGTTGACAACATCTAGTCTTATTCAACATATTTATATGGCTCGTCGTACGTGTGTCCTAGAATAATCTTACAGCGAATATTGTACGGTTCATGTACTAATATTATTTAGTAAAAAGTTTTAAATATTTGGATCTGAATAATAATAATGTGAAAGCCAGTTTTGCCCTTCAAATTATATCCATTCACAGAGAGCGGTCCTAACAATGGCTTGTTTTTAAGAATTTCCCAGCCGAGTGTCCCTGAACTTTACTGACCCAGGAAATATTAGCTACACAACCTATATTTTTTTCTCGAAATTCAACAATTTTTTCTCTAAGGCTAAATCCATTAATGATCAGATGGTAAATGTTTTGTTTTGAGAGCATTATTATATTAATTATTGTTTAGGAATCTGCTTTAAAACATTGGGATGATATATTATATGACCTTTGTCTAAACAAAAACTCAATGATTTTACTTCAGGTTGAAACTTAGGTAATTAACACTGGTGCACGGTAATGCCAATATCAATACAAAATTGAGGAGAAAACAGTAGGGAATAGAAAACTTTAATCAAAACAGTAACTCACTGTTCTGCATACATGCTAGCTGACATTAAACGCGTTGAAGATTGGACAAGATCGATCACTGTTTCCTTGGGGCCGAAAACTACTCCCGACATCATTGCCTGATCTTCTGCGATGAGAAGACCCAGTCCTCTGATCCTCTTTCTCGACATGCTTGATACATCCCCCTCTGATGTACTGGAATGGAGGTTGTTACATGTGAGTTCCTGTCCCGTCATATATCGACGTAGACTAGTCCGGATTTGAGATATGTCTTCTGCATTTGCATCTCCGATAGTGATATCGACCTCTTCCAAGCCAGGAAGCGAGGAGAGCAGACCTTCGTAGCTTTGTGATGTCACTCTCTCCGCTGATAACTTTGTGACGGATGGAAGGTCAGGAGGAGATGGAGGGAAACTGAGAGAGGAGTCCGAAATGCTGAGCTGGTTCAGTGAGGTGAGGGATCTGAGATAGGACCACAACTTCTCGGTCATCTTAGTAGATAGCTGGCACTGCTGTATATTAAGCCTAGTATTCTACAATGAAATGCACACATAAATATTGATACTTAATGTAGGCAGATATAATTCAACACCAGTGAAGTTGAAAATGCAATTACTATTGAACCATCTAAATTCACAATGCGATAATTGATTGTATTCTTTCAAAAACAAACAATGTTACTTTGTTGCAATTGTCTTAGTTTAGTGCAAAGAACATCCCTTTCTCGAATTTTTCAAAGCGAAATGCATGCACCCGTTTTACAAAATTCTACTCACCTGGATGGCGTCTGTGTCGCTAAGAGAACCACATCCACTCCTACAAGGAATATTTATCACAAGAACGAGGGAAAGAATATGATTCAATCCATTATTGAGACATTATTTCACATTTATAAAGAATAAAAGAGGCTATAAAGACAATTTTGAAAACAACAATACTAACAATAACAATTATGATAATAATCTTCTTATAAAAGTGATAGTAATAGCAATGATAAAACGAACATCAATAATGATAAATGTTAATATAATAGTTTGTGTTCATGTCATTTTAAAAAAGCAACATGAATACAAATATCTGTACACGAATTAAGATCTAGGTCTACATACTCCGAATTCAAGGACGTTAGTTGTTGAGTCCTAACAAACAAGTCAACCAAGGCCTCTTCGTCTCTGCCTTTCATCCCGGACACATGCAGCCGCTGTTGCTCTTTGGTTTGATCTCGAAATAGAAGACTAAGTCCTCCATTTGACTCGCCTGAATCAATATTCATGTCTGTGGTGAGTGCTGGCCAGGCGTGCAGTCTGATATGAACGAAGGACTGTTCATCCGTAATCCCGGTCTGACCAATAGGTCTGGAGGTCGACGCGGTGGTGATCTGGAAGGTGTTGCTCGTCTCTGCAACCCCGATAGAGACATCGATATCTCTCACACCAGGTACCGATGAGAGCACTCCTTCGAAGCTTTGTGACGTCACTCTCTCGGCTAAAAGCTTTGTGACTGATAGAAGCTCCGGGTGAGATGGATGGAAACTGAGAGAGGAATCTGAGATGCTGAGCTGTGTCAGTGAGGTGAAGGATCTGAGACAGGACCACAACTTATCAGTCATCTCCGTAGATAGCTGGCAATCCTTGATTTTCAATGTGTCAATCTATGATGACATACAAAAAGAACAGGTCGTCATTGTTACATCATTACATTAGAGAGCCGCACGAAATTTAATCCGTTCTCTCTCCGAAATAGAGTTAAAATTTATCCTGTAAACATATCATCACCCATAATTATTGAGATTTTTTGAAATTTCATCTCAAAAGCAATCAAAAAAATTTTAAAATCCACATTGTTAATAATTAGAAAAATTCAATTAGGAATAATTTTCATTAAATAAAGATATCGATGGTTTTGAGAGGAAAGGAGAAAAAGAAACAGCATTGACCAAAACTTCCTAGAATCCTACAGATCATTTGAACTCATCGATCGGCACGCGCTAAGAACCTACATGATTATTTTGTCAATCTTAATTCCTTTCGAAGCTATACAATTTTCTATCTTAATCGTTTGGCACATTTCTTTTCTTTTCTAATTTTTAATATAAAATAGCTAAAATATACGCTATAATAGCAAAATGATACCTACCGTATACATTTTTCAACTGCATTTAGTTCCTTCCCACAACTTTGTTAGAATTATAATTTGTAATATGCTACATGGCCTTTAGCCAACATGCTAGACTTTTACTTTAGACCCCTCAATATTCCTATTTCCCAATCCTCATTTTTTAAACTAATTTTCAATAAACAAATAACTACAAGCGAACCAAAGTCATTCAACAAATTTAATGTACTAATGTTTATTGCAAATTAAATGTGCATCGTCAATATAATTATATTTCTAGTATAACGAAATCTGACAATGTATATTGTAAAGAGTGGTATATGTATACAGACCAAACTGAAGTAAATTCATTGTTTCAAAGAAATACTATTTCTGATACTCCAATTCCTATTCAGTAGGAAGTGTAAAATGCTTTCTGAAATATTTACAAACGGATGAGGCGTATGGACATGTAAAATTAGAGCGTACTTACATTTAATGCTAGTTCATCGGATTTTAGCGTCCTGGAAAACCTTTATAATTTGAAAGAGAATGAAAAGTGTGAGGGGGGGGGGAACAAGTAGCCAATTAATAAATATATGTAAATAACATTACATAATTGAACCGATTTACATTTTTCCGAAGTCAACTGACTTTCTTCTAAGGCTAAACATCATTATTCGTTTATCTTTCTGAGAGCATTTTTTATATTATCTGCTTTGAAATATTCTTCAAGACGTTGAGAATACTCTGTATTTATTAGTGATGATATTTTGTTTAGCCTTGCGACTGAGCGCCGGTTCTTTTTATCGTCGTATTGAAAAAAGAGAAGAGAAAAACATGACCTCTGTCTTAACATAACACCAGTATCATTGTTGATACTCAAGGACTCTTTTATCCAAGTTGAATTGGCTTCAGGTGGATACTTTGGAGATTAATGGACTGGTTTAACACATCAAATTAGCCGATGAAATAAAAGGCCCATATCAATGCCAAATGAGGGAAAAACTAGGAGGGGGGGGGGGGGGGGTGTGATGAAAAACCTTCAATCAATTTTACTTGACATAACATATACTCACTGTTCAAAATACAGACTAGATGACATTAAACGCGTTGAAGACTGGACAACATCGATCAGTGCACCCCCGAGTCCGAAAGCAACTCCGGACAATATCGCCTGACATTCTGTGATAAGAAAACCCAGTCCTCTCATCTTCTGTCTTGACATGCTTAATACATTCCCCTCTGGTGGGAAGGAATGGGGGTTGATGCGTGTGAGATCCTGTTCCGTCAGATGTCGACGTAGACTAATCTGGATCTGAGATATGTTTTCCCTCTGTTCATCTCCGATAGTGATATCGACCCTTTTCAAGCCAGGAAGCGATGAGAGTAGACCTTCATAGCTTTGTGACGTCACTCTTTCGGCTGAAAGCTCTGTGATGGATGGAAGCTCAGGGGGAGATGTAGGGAAACTGAGAGAGGAGTCGGAGATGCTGAGCTGGATCAGTGAAGTAAAGGATCTGAGGCAGGACCATAGTCCACTCGTCACGTCGATACTTAAAGTAGAACCCTCGAACTTTAGTGTCGTAACCTAGTGTTAAGATAGAGAAAGAGATATACAGAGGAGGGAGGAGAGAGATAATGAAAGATTTGGGGAGTAAAATAGCCATAATATAGTTAATGGAGATAAGGCGATCGAGATTGTAGTCTGATTTTATTTAAGAATATTAAAGAGAAGGTTCATTGATTTTGAATTTGACTGAATTTGGTATCATTGCATTCGAAAACTTACACTGAGTAAGAATATCACATTTGTTTAACTTGTAATTCGAGCGAAAATTTTAAAAGTTGATTAAACTTTACGAAATAACCCAAGACCCCGAAAACAATCGTAATACAGCTGAATTGTCAATGGCGTCACCGAATTAACAACGAATACGAGGGACTTGATGCGTGATCGTCAACGAAATGGAGTTCAGTCTTTTGTCAACTATGTTTATCGCTACGGCAGGCAGCCAGTGAAAACGAATTCGTTTAATCAAATTATGGAAATGCAAGCACTACTTTAAACAAATAGAACTTTGTTATTCCTAGCTCATTTTTCCTGATTGAGGTGTCATACGAAAGGGCAACAAAAAAAAACTTTCTAGAAATGTGATTTTCCTATTGAAATTCAGATACCGCCCGACAAAGGACTTTTTGGTTTCCTCTCTTAAAATTGTTGTAATCACCCATGTGTGAAATATGCAGCATGTAGATTGCATTAGATGAAAGGGGAGGATCTAAGCTTTACAAATACGTGTCATTTATTAATCATCACTGTGATTAAGTCATGATAAAACATGTTATTATAATTCTTGGTTTCGTTTTTTTCTCGGACGCACTGTATAGCTGACGATGTCCAATGATTGAACGATATTCGTCCGCGAGTGGACTGATGCGGCTCTTATCTGATGCTCCTATCTATAAATTGTTTTGTTTTCCTAACCTAGCCATCCTAGCGCTGCATATTAGTATTTGGATATGTGCGCTGGTACGATGTGGTGGAGATCGCAAAATAAATCTGCTGGATTCTGGACTAACCAGTATGTCGCAATGATTATGGACAAGTTACGACATTGGCAGTCATTGGTTTACGGTATAAGCCTCCCGATGTTCTCGCAATGTCATTTATTTTAAGTAAACATAGCTGTGCACTTGTAATTTGTGTATGAAATATCATTATTTGATAAATTATCAAATCAGATTCTGTGTGCGTGCGTATCATGAATATTTATGACTAGCGCATGACGTATTAGTTCTTTTGAGCCAATCAAATGCAGCGGTAGAATGGCTAGGTAAGGGAATACAAAGAACCGGCCAGATTCAGGACTACTCTTGCACGAACGTTCGTGAAGTGAGAGGAATCGGCAGGTAAGATCATGCTTGTGGTCGAGCATTATTTGGAGCACTATAAGTCCCCATCAAACCAAAACTAGTTCACACTACACTTTTAAACCGTCCTAGAAAATCTTTAAAAAAGGGTAATGGTCAGGGAAGAATGTGTAAATAATGTCTACTGTACGATCCTAGATCGTTCATAAACAGTCCTCAATACGCCCATCTCGTCTGTACCCCGTCCACATTCAGTTGTGTCAAGTTCATATCGGGTGAATTGGCCATTGCCAGGTAGCCCAAGCCCGTCTGTATTCAGTTTAAACCAGTTCTTTACTAGTTCTACCTCGTTCCCAATACGTCCAAATCATTCTAACTAGTTCGCAACTTGTTCTAACTAGCTTGTAACCCGACCACCCCGTTCAGGGACAGTTCATCTCGTCCCCGTCTCGTTCTTAGTGCGTTCGAACGCGCCCCTATAGGCACGAGGGCTGTACAAACCCAGCGCGTTCTTGCCATTCCTCATTTCCGTTCAATGATATTACTGCTAACTGATGCTCGACCAAGTCATGTTGTAATACGTAGTAGGACCAAAGTACGGCGATTCCGTTCGTAGTACGTCCATCTCGTTTTAAGTACGTTGTCACTCAGTCTAATTGTAGGACGGGGAAAATTTTGAACAGGCTCAAAGTTCTAGAGCACCCTTCCCGTCCAAGCCAGTACGAGGCCGTCCATAAAGTGCTTAAACAGATCTTAAACAGTTTCTACTTTGTTCATTCCGTCCGCGCACGGTTTGAGCACGTTTGACAACATTTTACCGAACGTAGTAAAAACTAGTTTGGTGTGATGGGGCTTCACTTGAATGTCTTGCGCAGCACACCTTGAATCGTTGAAGTTGAACGGGAATAAGGAATGGAAAGAACGCGCTCGGGTTTTATGACCCTTGAGCGAGGACGTGATTGCACACCCTAGAAGCGCGTTAGAACGCACTGAGAACGAGATGAGAACGAGCCGAACTGTCTCTAAACTAGTTAGAATGGGTTCGTTTGTTTTGAAACGAGGTATAACTAGTTGATAAGGGGTTTCAATTGACTACGGGTTGGCTTGGACTGCCTGGAATGGCAAATTTACCAGATCTGAACTTGATATGAACTGACTGTGGACGGGGTACAGACGAGATGGACTGTTTATGAACAAACTAGTATCATATTTTAGTCATTTTTACACATTCTACCCCGACCACAACCCGTTAAACTATTTTCTAGGACGGTCCCAGAACGAAGTGAGAACTAGTTTGGTGTGATGGGGGCTTTAAGTAACTCTTTTTCTCATATTTATTTACATTTTATGAGTAATTTATTAATACATTTATTTTTGTCCATGCCTTTGATTATAAATGATGAATGATTTTTAAATAGATGCTTCTTCGACTTATGAATATGGCAAAGAAATGAAAATTAAAACAAGATTTCTGAAATGATCAGTGTTAAAATGCTTATCAAATGAAAATGGCATACCTCACGCTTCAGTTGCTTCGGAAGATTTTGCATCCCAACGACAGTGTACACGGTGGGTGACTTTAGAACAATACTCCGCGCATTCACGCATCTTTGAACCAATGATGACACATTTCCTTCAGTACCGCTGGTCTCTGATGAGCAGTCAAGGAGAATTCGATATCGCTCACTCTCATCCAAAAAGCTGTTGGAAAGGAGCGCCTCCATTATTCGTATACAAAGTCTATTATCCGTGCCGGCAGCGAATCGGATGAGATTCTCATAGTCACCGATGTTTGCTTTGATTTTCTGTAGAAGTCTGTCCAACTTTGAAATCTTCAGTCGTAACATATATTTCTTTGTTTTAGCAGCGAGGTATTTCCCAGCTGAGTGTTCCTGAGCGAGTTTGTGATAAAACTCAATGGTATTGAAAGTTGTCTCGTTGGGCTGAGGAAGGCCTGTGACCGAAACAGTTGTCTTGGATACTATCCCAAGCTCACATGCCCTATCAAGGATTGCGGGAGCTCTACGAAAATCATGATGCGTGAAGACTAGTTTCTTAGCATCGTCGAGCAGACCAGTAAGGGCAACTTTGCCTAAATGAGATATTATCTCCCTTAACTCATCGGGTGTGATTTTTACTCTTGACTTTGATCGGGTGTTTGCATGGTGCGCTAAGAAAACATTCACGCTGTCCAGTAATTCTGTTTGAGTAGTAGTATCACTGTCCAGTAGGCACTCACTCCATAAGTGACACACCATTAGACAAAATAACGGTGTTTTAACAAGTTCATTAATCAGTGGTTGGCCGTCAAGGTAAATCTTCAAATCATGTCCGCTATTATTAGGATTCGAGTTTGAAGCAAAGAATCTGTCGATGTACTCTCGTGAGCTCTCTTGTGAGAATCCTTCTATCCACATCTTTGTGTATACCCTTGGAAGTTCCGCTTGATCAAAGAAGTACTCTAGATGAGGGCGTGTTGTTACGAGGACTCGACACTCCGGAAATTCTTCCAAACGGATGACACGGAAAATGTTACTCTCTGAGATTCGCTGGGAAGAAGAAATACCCGCATATTCATCTAGTCCGTCTAGTATGATGTGGCAGATACCCTGATTCTCTCTAATGAAACTCTCCAGACCCTCTGGTGTGAGATCCTCAACATCACTCAAAAGCTGGGATTTGATGGCTTCTCCGATCGATGTGAGCTGACCTGTGTTTCGAAACTTTACAACAAACAGAAGTGGCAGGTGTTCTAATGCTGACCCCTTTTCTTTGTGAACCCAGTCGTAAGCCATCTTAGCAACAGCCGTGGTCTTCCCTCGTCCAGCTGGTGCCGAAATGAGGATTCGAGCTGGAAGTCTTCCGTTTACTTTCGTTGAAAATATTTCAGCAACAGAACCCTGGAGTATTTCCTTCTTTTTCGTGTCTTGTCCGCTAGCGTCCTTCTTCACCATTGTGACAACCGTGTGCATGTCTTCGAACTCAGCATAATCACTTTGATCCCACGGTTTCATTTGAATTTTGCACAATTGATCTCGGTACTTATTCTCTAACTTTTCGCGACATCGCTGAACAGTCAATGATGCCGAGATCTTCTTGATGTAGATACCTGGAATGATACAAGCATATACAAAACTAAATGTCTTATTATACTCTGATGATCTACTAACCTCTTTCCAAGGTTTTTGGGGGTAATCCTTTTTTTATAATTTTCTTTGAATTACATCAATTATGGTGGTTTGCCTCTTTAAAATAAAGTTTCTAAACTATTTTGTTATGTTTTTTTCTTTGGCGTTGGAACAGTGTCATTCTCTACTCGCTGACTTACAAATCTAGTTTGATATATTATGTTGTGCCCTCTCATGCACATCTCCTATTGCGTATTTCTTCTTCCTCTCTTCTTTTCAACCCCACATGCAAACCCATCCTGTATTATTTCCTGTACCCCCGATCTCTCACTTTCGATTTGCATTGTTTACTTTTTGTATTATGACCATGTTCTCCTACCTTTGTCATGTAAAGTGCTCTCTTGTCATTTTCTCGTCTCTGATGGCATCTTCCTTTTGTTTCTTCTTATTTTAGTTCCTTTTTGTAGTTACGAATTCGTAAATCCAACCACTTATTATTCCTTACTATCATTTGAGGGGTCCACAATTATACAAGCAATGTTTTTAGTGGACCCCTCTGTGTTCTATATGTATTCCTTAAATGTTATAATTGATTGTAGTTTATTTGCAATGTTCTGTTGAAAACAGATATAAAATTGAATTTAATTAAGTTAAATTGGATTTGGAACGCACTTAACTCTGCTGTTTTCTTTAATTAGACTGTATAGATCAGTCAGGAAGCTTTTTCTCCAAATCGATATTGAAAGTCTTAAGTATATGTTCTCCTTTTTATTGAAGAACTTTTTCAAACATAAATTTGAGGGAGAAAGAGACACGGAGTAAAGGAAGATGAAAGGATATTGACCTTGAACGATTAAATTGAACCTAATATAATGTACATTTCCTGATACAAACTATTAATAAGGGACTAAAATACCCCTTCATAACCTGTAATAAAAATGTGAATTGGAATCAAAATGTGTTTATTGTACAAAGTGGATTCACTTGATTTGTTCTTCTGCCGGTATTTAATTATTGCAATTTAACTCCGACTGGGTATGTGATGCCTGTTTATTACGTCAATTGCCATTTTATAACACAGATGATGATGGTGAGAGTGATTTTGCAATCAGTGGACCTCTATTATTTCTGGGGAAGAAAGATGATTCTGAAAAAAAACGAATTATTTAAAACTTTGGATCAATTCAATGGCTTAAAAATAGCTCACTTAAATGTTTGTTCTTTATTAAAAAATATTGAAAAAATACGAAATATTATAGTGGGAAATAATGTTCATGTTGTGACGTTTTGGGAGACTAGACTCGATGATACTACATGTATCGCGAATGGAGAGATATCTGTGGCAGGTTATCGTACTTTGTGGTGGTGGTTATTTTACCTGACTACTAAGAAAGCATAAATGCTTGTAAGTAAGCAACCAGACAGCCGACGGCTTTAGGTCCTGTCCGATGGACCTGGTGATGAGGATTAATGCCTTACTAAAGGGCACTAGCGCATCGCCTTGGTTTTGAACCCGGGTCACCGGATTACGAGACCACTACTCTACCGACTAAGCTATCGCGCCTCCTCCTCTTTTTGAGAAGAGACAGAAACAGATCTGGAGGAGGAGTAATTGTAAACTTTCAATAATCTGTTTAATAATGATACAGTTCTTCTTAAGCTACAATCAAATTCTCTTGAATCGCTATGTATTCAAGTTAATATATCTCATCAAAACCCTTTATTAAAATACTTATTCCATGCATATGGTATAGGCCCCCCGATTCAAGTATTCTTGTTTTTTTGATTTGCTTGAAATTGTGTTAAAAAATGTGGAAGCCACTTCCTTGGACTATCTGTTGATTGGTGACATAAACTGTGACTTGTTACAGAATAACCCCACTTGTCATACTAAACGATTGTTACAAATTGCTCGTGGGTATAATTTTCATCAACATGTTAAAACACCAACACGCGTTACCCAGTCTACGAGTACTTTAAATGATCGTTCATTTTCCTTAAATAACACTTTGAAAAGGTTAGGCAATATTTTCCAATACTTTGCCCAACGTTGTGCCAATAGTCAACCCAACCCTATATTGGGCAATATTTTGCCCAGGGGTATTGGTAAACGTAAATAGCCTACTTCAAACGTGCAGGATTGTTTCGTATTTTGACCAAACTTTGGGCAAAGATATGACCCTCCAACTGCCCGACTACTATGTTGGGAAAATCTTGACCGGTTAAAAAAAAAAGGAGATATAATGCCAGTTAAACTGGCATTATATTCCTGTTTTTTAAATATGTATTGTTTTCTTATTTACATTTACTTATTTTAATATTATGTATTTGTTATTGTTTAAATATGTGTTTAGTCTGTTTATTCATATGTATTTTTAATGTACCATGTACGGACATGCTGAAAAACAGCTATGGTAAGCTGAAAGCATCTTTTTTTAATCACTGTATTTAAATAAATAAACAAACAAACAAATAAACAAATAAACAAATGATAAGAACGTTAGTATGTTAGACGTAAATAATCATATTTGATTGATACACGTCTGTAAAACCCCAATTACACACACTCTACCACTAGTATACCCACCTGGATTACTTGGTGTCCCCTTGAGATATGTATCCGCAAGCATTACTAGCTTAGCGTCAATGAGAGCTTGTTTCAGCCTGGGATGCTGGTTGCAAGGCTTCACATTCTGTCTCCAGTCAAACAGCATATCACGTGTTCCCTTACAAGTCACCCGTCCTTCTATCCTGTTGGTTTCTGTGTATCTATTGATTTCTGCGACCTTGAATCCGAGTGTTCGTCCTAAGGCCTCCATCTGCTCACCCGTCTCGATGTCCTCAGCCAGCTTGCAGATAAGGTCATTGGCAATACCTTCATGAGCCGCCATACCTATGGGGAACATACACAAAAGACAAATAAGATTAATAAACTGATTATGAACATATAGGCCCGGATTCACAAAGGGAGTTTGTAGACAAACCTAGGTTTATTGCGTCGTGTGACGCGTTTTAAAGCGTTTCAGACCAAGGTTTGTCTGAACCTTAGGCTGAAACGCATCGAAACGCCTCATATGACGCATATAAACCTAGGTTTGTCGACAAACATCCTTTGTGAATCCGGACCATAGCCTCTTTATAGTGGGACAGTAAATCAATTCAGTATTTCAGCAGGTCTGCATTCATCATTGTAAAGTACCAATTATTGTTCTCAGATTGTGTGCTGGGTAGGATAGAATGTTAGAGTATCTTTGTTGTGCTTAAGCAGAGAAGTAGGATCTTGACGATCGAAGTATAGGTAATTTGAAAACCTATTTACAAAGAAGTATAATAATAAAGAAAAGAAGAAAACCGGAGAAAACAAGACATTTCAAGAATACGGTCGAGGCCATTAATGGCCTATGAACCTAGTTTTTGCCTGGCAATGCCGGTTACATTTTTGTGATGCATTGCCAGAGGCAGTGCTCCGGGAGGGGGTGTACTGCCCTCACCTTTCCAAGTACCTGAAAATTATCCTTGCTACGATTTATTTTATTTTTTTGGTCATCGAATTTTTTTAAAATGTGCACCCCCCCCCCCCTTGAGCGCAAAGGTAAAAATCACGTTCTGAATCCGCCACTGTTGGAGGGTGCGCATTATGCACTAGGCGCAGCCTGCATCAAGGCCTAATGATTAATAAATGAAGAGATTGATTCCAAAAGGAGCTAAATCCATATTTTATTAAAATTTAGTTATCTGTCTTAAAATAATGATTTTCTACATGGGGACAAAAATATGCACTATATCACATTCGAAAATTTCAGCAGGAAGTATGAAAAAAATTAGGTACAATATCATGTTTCATTCCAAAAGGAGCTAAATCCAAATCTGTTTCATTCCAAAAGGAGCTAAATCCACTTTGAGTAAATCACCTTTTTTATTTCTCCACTTTCCCTTTAGCCATGTACCTTCATGTTGTTATATATGTTGAAGGTTTTGCTCTGGACCAATAATATATGATAAGAAAAAAATCTATCAATTATTTCTGATTTTTACTAATTTTTTTAGATTTTGTGGATTTAGCTCCTTTTGGAATGAAACATGGATTTAGCTCCTTTTGGAATGAAACGGATTTAGCTCCTTTTGCAATGAAACTGTGATATGTTGATTACTTTCTTTTCAAAAGGTTTTTTATTTATGATTTCACTATCAATATTTAAAAGGAAAGGTTTGCTACTAAATTTAAATAAATTTCAGTGATTTTATTGAGAAAATACGAATTTTTTCAGGTACAATATCATGTTTTATTAATAATAATAATAATATTTAATTTTTATATAGCACTTAATAAAAATGTCTCTAAGCGCGGTCATTGGATTCAGTTCTTGCCCGCACAAACTTTGTGCAAAATCTCCACTCCCTAAATCAGGAAAAACTGTTGGATTTTTTCGTATCATATATTATTGGTCCAGGATGACACCTTTAACATATATAACAACATAAAGGTACATGACTAAAGGGAAAGTGGAGAAATAAAAAAATGGCCATTTACTCAGAAGTACCCAAAGTGGATTTAGCTCCTTTTGGAATGAAACTCTTCAAATAATAATTTAAAATCGAAAATGTTCTGGAGTTTGTATCGATATCCCAAGTACAAAATTAAACTACAAAATTAAACATGTTCAAAGAAAAAATAAATTTCCCTTTTTAATTATATAATTATACAAAAAGCAATGAGCTCAATATAATTTAAAACAAAACGAAGTCAGGACATTTTCTATACAGACTATCAATCCGTCTCAATATTAGGATTGAGGTTAAAATAATAATTCAAACTCTTATTTCATCAACTCATCGTAGGCTTAAAGGTAACACAAAGTTTTGGGAAATTTAAAAAAATTTGGTGGATAGTGATTCTTTACAATTTTCATATATTTTGATGCTCCTGTGGATGTATTATAAGCACTAAAAAATTCAGCCCCTAAAACACTTCTGCTTTCGAGAAAAATTGGAAATACAAATTTACCGGTGCTCCCGGCAAATTTTGATAAATTTCAAATAGCGCCTATGGCCGTACAATGGTAGCTGCGACCATGAAAATCTCAGAATATGCGTGTGTGATATGTAATTTCCAAACGAGAATAGCTAATCGGTCGATTATAGTCAAGAAACATTGTTTTATAGCTTAATTAATATTTTGACCTCGAGAGGGAGCTATACAACAAAAAGAGTTTATTATTTACAATTTCATAACTTTAGACTCGATTTCAACCGCGACAACGATCACTGATTATTGTATGATCGCATAAGCTTCCAATATGTTCATTTGAACTAAATTCATGACCCCATACCGAAACTTTGTATTACCTTTAATAGCTGAGGTCAGCGTGAGAGAATCCTAGGGTAGACAAAATCACAATTAGTTCCCAGCCATGTTGTTTTGCCACGATCCTCTACCTAAACAAATTATTTCCCATAACCCCGGCACATATCCTGCTAATTCAAAGCAACTGAGGACATTTTTTCTCGACTTTCCCTGAAGCTATATGCCTCGCTACGCTTACTCGAAATTTGATATAAGTGATATACCAATTTTGGAACGCCCCCTCTCAAAAAAATAAGTGGAAGCTCTTATTACCAATCAACCTGGATAGATATCGCGAATGCACTTCAACATTATTGAATTGATAGTTTGCACCCACAATCCTTGAACCACAAAGCTAATATTCCTTCTGTCATGAGATGTTGTTCGAACCCCATTGATATCGATCTAATAAGATTCAATCGCAAATGAATCATAATAGACAAATGCAAAGCGTGATTAGACAATCATGAAGATGATCCTTTTTATAATATAATAGGGTTACATCAACTAATGTTTCATTTCATATTTTCCACTTTAGGATTACTCTTTTTGTTGCATGGTGTTTATAAGAGCGCAACAGTGCAGACAGGCAGAGAAGGCACCCAAAGTGTAAATCAAGCTTCATCTTTTACTCGTTACGCTTATCCAGAAGAAAGTAATAAGGAGCACACCAAACGCAAATAATAAATTAGAATAAATATGGCAATATATCACAATCTTACCTGGGCTAGTCTGCACTGGAGTCTTCTCGTGGTCATGTGAGTCCTGCTGGTTGGGTATATATTTACCTGTATGGGATGTACAATGTATTATTTTATTTATTGTACCATAGGCTGGAACACTCTTGCAATAAGAACTGGTTTCCATAGGGGTCCAATATTAAAAATGAAGGAAAGAAGCAACTCAAACGATTGTGAAGGATGATGATAATCACTTCAAAAGAAAAGATAGTTTTAAGTGATGTCAGTTATCGTTTCTCAAAATTTAAATTGTTTAAGCCCAGTGATAATTAAAGCATCAAACTTATTATAGACAAAAACATTATTTTCAAATTAACGGCTAGACGAGTTGAACTCATGTACATAACAGTGGAATCACTAGTAATAGAGGTACAGAGGTTGTAGAAGTAGCATCAATAGTTGGAATAGTAGTAGTGGCAGTAGTAGTAGTAGTAGTAGTAGTAGTAGCAGTAGTACTATTAATAGGTTTAATGGTATTAGTAGTGACTACAGTAGGCACATTAGTACTAGTAAAAGTAGGGCTAGTAGTACTACTAATAGTAGGCATAGTAGTAGTGGCAGCAGTAGTGGTAGTAGTAGTAGTAGTAGTAGTAGTAGTAGTAGTAGTGGAGGTAGTAGTAGTAGTAGTAGTAGTAGTAGTAGTAGTGGAGGTAGTAGTAGTAGTAGTAGTAGTAGTAGTAGTAGTAGTATTAGTAGTAGTAGTAGGATAAGTTGATGTAGTAGTAGTAGTAGTATGTTTAGTGGTACTAGTAGTGACTGTAGTAGGCCTAGTAGTACTAATAATAGTAGGGCTAGTAGTGATACTAGTAGTAGGCCTAGTAATAATAATAGTAGTAGTAGTAGTAGTAGTAGTAGTAGTATTAGTAGTAGTAGTAGTAATAGTAGTATTAGTAGTATTAGTAGTAGTAGTAGTAGTAGTAGTAGTAGCAGTAGTAGTAGGAGTAGAAGTAGTAGTAGTAGTAGTAGTAGTAGTAATAGTAGGTTTATTGGTACTAGTAGTTACTGTAGTAGGTCGAATGTTACTATTGAATGTAGGGTTAGTAGTACTACTATGGTAGTAGGCCTAGTAGTACTAGTATTAGCAGTAATAGTAGTAGCAGTGGAAGCTGATGTAGGTATAACTGTAGTATACGTGGTAGAATGGTTTTAGTATTAGTATTAGTAGTTGCAGTAGAACTATTAAAGTTGTATAAGGAGTAGAAGTAGTAGTAGTAGTAGTAGTAGTAGGCCTAGCAGTAGTAGTATTGGAAGTTGTTATGGTAGTAGTAGTATCAATAGCCGTAGCAATGTGTGTAGTACTTATGATAGTACATGTAGTAGTAGTATTAGTAGTAGTAGTAGTAGATGAAGTAGAATAGAAGAAGTAGTATTAGTATTAGAGTAGTAGTAGTATTAGAGTAGTAGTAGTATTAGAGTAGTAGTAATATCAGTCAGGCGTGGTATAGTAATGGTAAGAATGACAGCATTTTGAAATGATCATTTATGTATTTATTAATTATTGTTCCGGAGTAATGTGGCATGTCAAACCAATTATTTCCCCGACTTTTGCGAGTTTTAGGGAGTTTTCCCGCTCGAAATTTGGGCTCGATGTGTTGTATATGGGATGCAGCTTCTTACGCACATTGCCTATGACGGTTTATCATTGAAAATCACATAGGAAAGACGTTCACTTTGAAAAAAACTATGAGCAAGATAATAAACAGCTTGATTCAAAGCACGGAACTTTTCCCGGTTCATTTTTTATACGATACTAAAAGACCTATACAGTGCGTCCCAGAAAACCGAAACCGAGAATTATCGATGTTTTATCATAACTTAATCACATTTATAATTAATAAATGACACATATTTGGAAAGCTTAGATCCTCTTCTTTCATTTGATGGAACTCATTATGATTCATATTTCACGCATGAGTGATTAAAATCAATTTGAAGAGAGCAAACCGAAAAGTCGTTTGGCGGGCGGTATCTGAATTTTAAAGAGAAAATCACATTTCTAGAAAGTTTGGTTTCTGCCCTTTCATATGACACCTCAATCAGGAAAAATGAGCAAGGATTGACAAAGTTCTGTTCGTTTAAAGTAGCCCTTACATTTTTATAATTTTAGCAAACAAATTCGTCTTCACTGGCTGCCTGCCGTAGCAAAAAGCAGAATTGACAAAAGACTTAACTCCGTTTCGTTAACAATCAGCCATGCATGAAGTCTTTCGTCTACGGCTGATTGTCAACGAAACGGAGTTAAGTCTTTTGTTTATTTCGTTTGTTGATATGGCAGGCAGCCAGTGAAAACGAATTCGTTTTATCAAATTATGGAAATGCAAGCACTACTTTAAACAAACAAAATTTGTTATTCCTAGCTCATTTTTTCTCATTGAGGTGTCATATGAAAGGGCAGAAACTCAAGCTTTTCAAATATGTGTCATTTATCAATTATAATTGTGATTAAGTTATGGTAAAACATCGATAATTCTCGGTTTTGTTTTATCTGGGACGCACTGTATAACTATAAACCCAGTGTAATTCAAACAAAATTTTACCTTCTGATAGTCTTTCACCTAATTCAACAAGTCGTAATTCACGGAGCTTGCTGGCTAGTATGGATCGAGTTTCGGTGCCGTCTCTTTGGTTGTAATTCCATTTGATGAGGAGCTCTACCAGAGCTTCATTGACGTTGTTGAGATGTTTGACGATGTGTGATTGGCTTACTGCATAGGAATACCCAAGACTGTTGCACAGTTTTGAGTATTTGCCCGGACCTATGTCTTCAGCTAGTGATATCAGCTCGATTTCCTGCAAAGGCTCCATAATGCTGTGGATAATCATGATATAGAAAGAATACATATGTGTTATCAACTCCATTTCCTGCAACGTCTCCATTATGATGATATATAAGCAATACAGTATGTTTTCTTTCTAAAGCAAAGATTTATGTCACTTGATCCAAGCATCGGTACCTCTAAACGAAAAAGGTGCTCTTATTATTAAAATTACCGCAGCGAATCTTATCACATTGAAACAAATACTTACAAAGAAAATATAACCATGACCAGAAATTAAAATGAAGATTAAAAGTAACTTATAATGTTTAAATCATGTGAGGAGCCTTCGGCGACCCCACCAGGTTATTGCGTTTATCAAACATTTATGATTACATAGCGGGGATTCTAGGACAATTACCCCCTAGGCAATCACCCCCCGGAAAATTACCCCCCGGAAGATTACCCCCGGAGAATTACCACCGAGGACAGTTACCCCGAGGACGACTACCCCCCGTGGACATTTACCCCACCCCAAGGACAATTACCCCCGGAAAATTACCCCCCGGAGAATTACCCCCGACGACAATTACCCCGAGGACGACTACCCCCCCCCCCGAAGACATTTACCCCCCCCCCCCGAGGACAACTACCCCCGAGGATATTTACCCCCCGAGGACAATTACCTCCCGAAGACAATTACCTCCCGAGGACTACTACCCCGAGGATAACTGCCCCCCCCCCCGAGGACAATTACCCCTTAGGACAATTACCCCCGAGGACAATTACCCCCAGGACAAGAAATGTAATTACTGCTCTTTACTCGATAGCAAAACTACGGGGAATTGGGCAACCTCTATCCCCCCCCCCCTCCCACATTGAATTGAATTATTTAAAAAGACTGAAATGAACTTCATAAATAACAAGGAAAATGACAGTTTATGAAATTTTCTGCCAATAGCAATTTGGAGAAAAGCTCGCATTATACGTCACAGTGTTACATATTCCTCGGGGGGTAGTTGTCCTCGGGGGTTCTAGGACAATTACCCCCTGGGCAATCACCCCCCGAAAAACTACACCTACACCCCGTAAAACTACCCCCAAAGGACAATTACCTCCTGGAATATTACCCCCCGGGGAATCAACCCCCGGAGAATTACCCCCCGAGGACAATTACCCCCCCCCCCCCTCCGAGGACAACTACCCCCCGAGGACAATAACCCCCCCCCCCCGAGGACAATTACCCCTTAGGACAATTACCCCCGAGGACAATTACCCCCAGGACAATTACCCCCCGAGGACAATTACCCCTCGATGACAACTACCCCCCGATGACAATTACCCCCGAGGACAATTCCCCCCCATGACAATAAGCCCCCGAGGACAACTGCCCCTGTGAACAATCAGGATTCAATAGCAAAAGACGATCTGACACATTGAGAGATGGCTACGAACCCATACGATCCCCTGCATGAACCCATATTCTTTCAAATACTATAGCATGTTGTCTTCCTCATCACTACACATTTCCCTTTTTTTTTAATTTATGCAACGCCAGTGCGGTTTCTAATTTCCACGAAGGATGTAAGTTTTAGGTAATTGTCCAGCGCTTTTCAAATTCCATAGAAATACATTTCTCTGGAGCAGCGTTATTTTAACATTTTGTTAGTCACGGTACCCTCTTAAGAAATGAAAAGTTTCTCCCAAAATCCCAAAGTCTTTACAGACTATTTATTTTTCATGACTCTGGCTCTCATCAAGTGCTATGCACACACATATGGGCACATTTAAGAATAAAAAGGAGAAGACATTTTCAGACTGGTAAAAAATTAGTTTCTAATCCACACACTAGAAACTATTTAAAGTATGCGGGCACCTTGCCGCCGAATGTACATAAATAAAAAGTGATATATTCGGTCATGACCTTGATACACGAATATGAGAATATTCGGGCCTCTCGTTGCCCTTATTTGCCTTGCTGTCAAAATATTGTCAGCGAGCGAGGAAGGAAGACACTTTAGTTTCTTCAAAATTTTATTTTCTCATGTAATTAAATATTTTAACCGTTTCTGGTTTTTTTTTTTTTTTTTTTTTTTTTTACAAAATCAACGTTTTCCAAATCATTCTATTGCGGCACCCCGGTTGAAAAACGCTGTGTTGGAGTTACAAAATCAAATGAGATGAATCACCAGAGAGCGGGTATTTGTTTTCTTTTGACATGGCACCGTACATATAACTTTAAGGCAATTTCTATTTCAAAATAATTTAACGTACACGAAAACATATTATACTTCAGCATGACAACAGATATAAATAAATAACGTGAAGAAAATCTTAATTATGGATCATGGCATGGATGAGGGCCTATTGTACATACAAAGACAAATACACGATCAGCTGATTAAAAAAGTTACAGAGAATGCATAAAGGAAATCTTACATCCTAATTTCTTTGTTGTGCCATTGATGGTGAGAGAGGCTGTAACGCGTACTCATCTGCGCGCAATGTATTGCTCAATTTCTAAGAAATGTAATTTCTGTTCTTTACTTGGTAGCAAAACTAAAGGGGAGTTGGGCAACCTCCACCCCCCCCCCCCCCCATATCGAATTGAATAATTTTAAAAGACTGAAATGAACTTCATAAATAACAAAGAAAATGAAGGTTTATGATTTTCGGTAAATAGCAATTTGGAAGCTTGCGTTATACGTCACAGTGTTATACATTCATCGGGGTGATTGCCATTGGGGTAGTTTTCCTGGGGGATAGTTGTCCTCGAGGGTATTAATAATAACGTTTTATTTACCCAGGGTAGCCACTTCAGTTATGAAACTGCTCTTCCAGCGGGCCCTGCATAACATAATATGTTATTACTATCCTTCTCCAATCTATTATGCTGAGGGCCTAGCTAGAAGGCAGAAGGTCCCATTGTTATAAGTGTTTGGTATGACTCGGCTGGGGTTCGAACCCACGACCTCCCGTTCATGAGGCGGGCGCTCTAACCACTGAGCTACCATGTCCAGTAGTGTCCTCGGGGGGTAATTGTCCTCGGGGGTAGTTGTCCTCGGGGGGTAGTTGTCCTCGGGGGGTAATTCTCCGGGGGGTAATTTTGCGGGGGTAATTTTCCGGGGAGTAATTTTCCGGGGGGTGATTGCCCAGGGGGTAATTGTCCTGATACGGTCCTCGGGGGTAATTGTCCTCGGGGGGTAATTCTCCGGGGGGTAATTTTTCGGGGGTAATTGTCCTTGGGGGGGGGGGGGTAATTGTCCTGGGGGGGGTAATGTTCCGGAGGGTAATTTTCCGGGGGTGATTGCCCAGGGAGTAATTGTCCTGATACGCATAGCGGGTGATAGTTATCACCATTATCACTCTGTTGTTGCAGTTGAATACAACTTGACGAAGACGTATACCTAGCGCGTTTCAAACGCATGTCCAGTGAACAAGCAGCGAATATGAGCGTGCTGAATGCGTGCTGAACGTTTTTCTTACATGTCCATTGAATATACCTGGCGTGTACGTAGCTCAGTGTGGTTCGGGGACGTTGTGTTAATTCTCTTGGGTGACATCTTGAAGAACTTAGTTGCACTGGCGTTGGTCTAGCACGCTCCGCGCATACGGTCTGACGTCCTTTTGGCGTTAACATTCATGCGTCGAGCTCCGCTCACATTTTTGAGCATGCTCAAAAAATCCCGACGCACACAGCGAATGACGACGAATGCATAGCATTGGTCCAGCGTACTCGACGAACGAGTAACGAATGATGACGCACAACCAACGCACGACAACGCACTCACAAATATTGCAAATTTTCAATGCGCAGGCCGTGCGTGACCGGGCCGCGCGCGACCGGGCCTTATAACATAGCTGACAGTTTCTTTCAAAATTCAAAATGAAGTGTGGATTTGGGGTAGTTCTGCTTTTACAAGTCACTTTATTTATGGCTAGGGTATAGAAAATACATGGCACGTGCCAATGTGATGAGTATAACTGCATACTTAGAGTAGGCCTATACCGTTTGGTTCTGAATGGTAAAGAATGTAGATTTAGTCAAGATAACTATTTCGATTATACATATTTTCAAACAACTTGGGGGGGGGATTTGGGCGTTGTATTGGTCTTCGGATGGGGTTGTCCTTGTTTTTCCTTGGGGCGGTGTATTTGTCATGTAAAGGGAATAATTGTCCTCGGGGGGGGGGGGGAGTACTTGTCCACGGGAGATAATTGTCCTAGGGGGTAGTTTTCCCGGGGTAATTTTCCAGAGGTAATTGTTCTCGGGGGTTGGTTGTCCTTGGGGAGGCGGGGATTTGTTTTTCCTATGGGTAATGTTCCAGGGGGTTATTGTCCTTCTGGGGTAGATTTCAGGAAGGTAATCTTCCGGGGAGGCATTGTCCAGGGGGTAATTGTCCTGATATGAAATTATTAATCACCTAATGTTAGTTGTTGTTATTGTCTTTTGAAATACATGCACTATCAGAGACGTAATACCGGTGTGTTGGCTCAGTCAGAAGAGCGTCCGCGTCACAACCGGGAGGTCGTTGGTTCGAACCCCGGCCGCGTCATACTAAAAGAGTGGCGTTCAACAATAAGGGATAGAGGAACGTCGATCTGGCGCTGCTCAGTGGCTGCCGGGCTCACGATCAATTTGGCAAAAAGAATTTCCATTTTGGGTTTAACTTAATCAAATTTGGAGTGGACTTTAAAAGATTATTATTATTATTATTAATTATCATTTTGATTTTCCTGTAGGAAAGTTGAGAGACTATCCTGTTCAGTGTTTGTAAGAAACCGGTAATCTGCATGCCTACAAGCGCTTAATGTCAGCTTTCGGATTACCTTCATCAATATGCTTTGACAAATAATAGCAGGTTAAATAACCAATATGGAAAAATAGTATCTGTATCCTGTATAGTGTATACATAAATAGTTGTAACATGTAAAAAGAGGCCATGGACTGATAATATAAAAATGTTGGCGTTCCTGGACTATTTTTGTCAATCATTGGTACACAAATATATTTTTTCTAGCTGTATTAGGCGCAAACATAGCATGTTCAG